CAGGGCAGGGAGCCTCGAGCTGGTCAGCGGCGTTCTCGGCAGTTTAGGATTTCGGGTTTAGGGTTTAGGATTTAGGGTTTAGGATTTAGGGTTTAAGATTTAGGGTTTAGGGTTTAGGATTTATTTAGGGTTTTGGCTTAAGTAATTACCAATACTATGACGGGGGCTCCTTATTATAAATATAGCCGAATACACCCCAAATACCCCTAGTCTAATCATTAAGGTTTTTATATTGGGAATGTAGGAACCGGATTAGGAAATCCTGTCCTGTCACACCAAAATATTAGAATCCATAGGAAGAGCTGTAATGGAGATTCAAGGTTTCTTAGTCAGGTTCCGATATTAGCCCCTAAACCCTTAACCCTTAACCATTAGGGGTAAGGGCCCCTTTAACAAAGGGGTTCCTGGAAGTCCTTAAAGGGGTTATCTTTTCAAGGTGCCTCTTTATAGAGGATCTTGTGAGGACGGTGAAGGGCCTTAGTGTTTTGCGTCGCGAGGATGGCAGATGGAGGGCTACAAGATTCATATTGGGCTCTGAAGAAAAATCATTTCCGTATAGACCCGATAAGCCCTAAACCCTAAACCCGTATAGACCCAAAAGAACTGCTGTGTACTGCGCTCCCCCAGAGCCTACTAAAATCTAAGGCTCCAGCATTAGGGCTTGGTTAGGCGGCTCCAGTGTAGGCTTGGGTGGTCTGAGGTTTAGCCTCGAAGGATGCCGACTAAACAGGTCCCCCAATTTAGCGAATTACGACAGACTCAGTAGGGTTGCAGGATCTAGAGGTTTCAGTATCTCAGTAGGGTTTTGGGGTTTCAAAGTTTAAGTGATCTTGAAAGTGGTGGGTCTTGGGATTACCTTAAAGGGAGGGGTGAAGCGGGTGGAGCTTGTGATTGAGCCCGGAGGGGGGGACCAAAACCAAAAGCTCTTATCCGACAAAAACAAGAAACAACTGACTGTCGGGGTCCCTTTTGACTCCTTGGGCTGCAGAGATGGCGCGAGGGACTTAGAGTCGTGGAGAGACTTTGGATTGAAGTTTCCACAGAAAGTTCCGGGCTTTCGCCTACAGCCTACACCTTTCAGGTTGTACTTGAGCATGATATACTTCGGGTTTGCTTCTGTCTCAGGTTGCAGAGACTAGGGGTCAGAAGGTTGCTTGCGCTCTTTTGTGCCAAGTTCTTTAAGCGGCGATTGGGCGTTGCGTGGGAGGCTGTGGGGCAGGGATTACGGTAAGCTCAGGGCTTTAGGAGCCTTTGCAGATTCAGGGGCGCGGCGTTGGGGTTTGAGCAGGAATAAGTTGAATCTGCAGCCCGCAAACCCTAAGTACATTCAAAAACTCCCAAAGAATACAGATCATAAATTAGGCTCATGCCACGGTCGCCAGCCAAAGCCATAAGCAAGGACTACAAACCCTAGGTTGCAAGCCCTGCGGCCCGATGTCTATCCGTCTATCCCACCGACAATCGCCGTCACAAACAACAGGGGACGCAGCCGGAGCTGCGCGAATCTTGCTGCAAAGCACCGGCCTAAGTCGGAACTCTCACAAACCAAGATCTGCAGGTGAAGAAGTTCTTACATTAGGATCCCTCCCAGAGTATACCGGGCTCCTTTGAAATATTGGTGGGTGGGTGAGTTTTTATTTGGTGCTTTTATTGGGATATTAGCAACAAAATCCCCACTTCATCTCAATGTGCGGTTGGACGTACTTTAGGACTTCGATGAGTCTCCTTGGGAAACTTATTTGCGAGTGCGTATTGCTAAACCCCTTGCAGATAGTTCTGGAGCGTGGTAGTCTCCTGCAGACAATCCGCGCAATGCTGAAATCGGACTCTCAGCAGAAAACTTATTCTAGAAACCCTGAACATCCGTTCGAGCTTCCTTTGGTCCCTGCACGTTTGACTCCAAATATAGGGAGTTGACTTTGGGTTTTGGGGTATATTCTTCTATATTCTACGACGTTAGTCATCCATCAGCGAAGGCCTTCATGAACCCCTGTAGCTCGCTTTATAATCCCGAAGCCCTCTCACCCTTCAGCACCGGGGCCCGTACGGTCTTGTTTTATACTAGATAGCCGTAAGCCCTAAAGCCTTGCTTTCGAAAGGGCTGTGCAGTGGGAAACAGGAGCTCATCATGTCGTAGATGAGCCTTGTTAGATTCAGTAAACCTTCTTCTAACTCTCTTCGGCTTGACCTGACCTGGGAGCAAAGGAGTTCAACAAAAGCAAACCTCAAACCCTAAACCCGTGTAGTAGTCCTCATTCTAGCTCTTTTTTGGTAACCTTTATAGTATGAGGATTTAGTAAGCCTCATGACAGTCCCCACGAGGTCCAGGATAGTAGCCTTCATAATGACCGTAAACCCTTAATCCAACCATCCCCCAAAGTCCCCCCCTGAGGTCTGCGGGAGGATGCTTGTGCCTTTGCCGATGCCGAGGGCGCGGCTCGGGGCCTGCTGCAGATTGGCCAAGAGCGGCTGAGAGGTGGCCTGGTTTCCTGGTTTTGGGGCTGGAAGAGCTTAAGGACCCTAAACCCTAAACCCTGAACCCTAAACCCTATTCAGGATCTAGGGTTTGGGGTTCAAGGTTTCTCTGGGTCTAGACTCGTGGTTGTCCTTAGTGATTCAGCGGTCCAAGGTTTAGGGATAAACAGAAGGGCTTTAAGGGTTAAAGGGGTTCAGCGTGTGTTCTTGGTGCTTACGTTCCGCGCGTTTGTTCTGTATTTGGGTCTGTGTACGTCATACTTTTGGTGTCTTGGGCCTTCAGGCTTAGTCTTAGCGTATTGGGCTTGACTTTTTGTATACTTTGGTTTTGTTTTGGAGGTTTCAAGTGTAGGGTTTAGGGCTGTTGGGTTGTGTGGGATTTCAGTGTATCGGCCGAGGGGGCTTGCAAGGGGCTTTAGTTCGGTGTTTTGTGTCTTTTGCTGTATAGTGATGATGATTCTATCAGGGCCGAGCCCCTCAGGAAGAATCTAAATATCGCACAAAGGGCTTGAACTACGATGCCTGAAATCCGACATGTGTGCAGACTATGAGCTCCAACACTGCCACACCCGACACTAACAGCAAATCCGAAAATTAAGCGTCTTGGGGCCGTCAAAGCCATCATCGCCCAGGGGCGAGGGGCACCCCGGGCAACTCCGTTCGTGATGCAGTGGAATTCGTCCACGCTTGTGCCCACATCGTCGCAGGCAAGGCTGCTGCTTTGGAACAGTTACGACAAGGGAGACTGGAGGAGTTCTAAGATGTTTTCGGAATAGCTAGAGTACTCTATAAAGGAGAGGGCCTGGTAGGGTTTACTAATGTAAGAGAGACCAGAAGACTTCAAAGAGCAAGAGTGCTATGTGGAGTTGCGGGTTTTGGGGTTCTGGGGTTGATTTCGGGCCATAACTAACAGTTCCCTGGCACCGAAACCTCCAAGCCCCTGCCCCTGAGGCAACCCCTAAGCCCTAAACCGCGCCGAAACCCCACGGCAATCTCTGAACACTGAGAGGGTTTAGGGTTTAGGGTAAGCCCTAACCCCTAAATCCCAGCATCTAAGCCCCAAACCCCTCCAAACCCTTTCGGTGCGTGGTGGTGTGTTGGCCTGCTGCGAGTCTTGCTCGTGCCGCACAAAAGCTCCTCGTGATCTTTCGCCTAGACCTCATAGGCTCACAGGGGTAGCATAGACCTGAACCCTAAGCCCTTCGGTCTCCCTTTGAAATCTTTTGACTTGCCTCTGAGCCCGCCTCTCTTTCAGTTGCGGATTTAAGGGCTTCGATGTTTGATCTTCAGCTTGAAGCTTTGCTCCAGGAGGTCCCCCAAAACGGATCCACAAAGGCACCCTTAAAGGGAGCCTTAAAGGCACCCCTAAAGAGATGAATAAGGGTTCTAGAGGGGTCCTTGGAGGATGTCTGGTGCTCTTTGTGATCTTTATCTAAGAACTCGCAGGGTGCCGGGATTAGTGGGTGGTTTCCCCATTCGTTTGGGGATTAGCTTGCATCGGAATTATTCGTGCTTGCAAACATACTTCACAATGTCCTCAAACACTCAAACCATCCGGACGAAATCCCAAAATCCTCAGCTCTAGAGCCCACAGTCCCAAAAAAGCCAGAACCCTGCACCCCTAAACTCCCAAGCCTTAAATCCTAACTGAATCCCTAAACCCCAAAAGCCCCTAAACCCCTAAATCCCCAAATGCCCTACACCAAACCGTATCTGTGAGGTCAGAAGCTGACTTTCAACAAGCAAGAGCTGCAAAGCAACGAAGCAGCCCTTCACGATGCCTCTTCGCTGCAGCTTCCACCCCCCATAATCATAGCGGCTTAGGGTTTGGGGTTTAGGGCCTAGGGCCTAAGATCAAGCCCTACACCCTAACCCCTAAACCCAAGTTAACATAGGGACTCGGGTTTTGGGTTTTGGGCTTGGGGCTGGAGGAGTAGGGTTGTGTTAGGCCCTGCAGCCCCCAACCCCAAAATCATGAGCCGTCAGACCCCTGAGCCCAAAGATCGTTCGACCTTGAAACCACAAACCCCCCAACCCCAAAACCCAGGCGCTTAGCGCAAAAGCCTTGCAAAGACAAAATGCAGGAAACCTCACAGAAGGCCAGCCTTGCTCCACTTGCTTGTTCTCTGCTAGCTGTGTAGGCTCTCGATTACCGTGTAGTCGTAGCATACTTCGGCACTTCGGCGTCCCTTCTCATTGCCTCTCGAAGTCCTTCGTGAAGGAGCCTCTGGGCTGGTTAGCTTGGTCGCTTGGGTTTTGGGATTGGGGGTTTAGGGTTTTGGGGGTCTTGATGGTTTTCAGGGTTTTGGATATGTCATGTTGAAGGTCGGGAGCTTGGTTTTAGTGTTTAAAGTTTAGGGCTTGTCACGGAGAAGGAATCATGATTGGGTCCTCCGATGGTGCTGCAGTCCTGTCGATGTCCCAGCTTCTGCTGTGTTACTTCAGCCGCCGCCAGGAGAGCCGTTTCACCCATGCAGCAGGCAGCGAATCCTTGCGATCCGCGTCATGGCTGAAAGGGGTTCCGGACGTGGGACTGTAATGTTTTTGTTATTCCGTGATTCCTTAGCATGCTTATGGCAAGGCATAATGTAACCGTCCCAACCGTAACTGCAAGTGAACAAGGCCCCTGCCTACACTAGAACCCTACCTGCGAGGTCAGCTCAGCCGGCCAGCCGCATGGACAAGTCCCAAACGTCGAGGAGCAAGGACAAAGTGAAGCCAGACAAAAACCAAAGATCAGCTATACAGAGCCTCGCCGGCGTGGATGTGCTGCAGTTGCTTCTGCAGCAGGTCTTTGAGCGTGCTTCTTCGGGCGGAGTGCTTATCGAGTCTTTCTACCTGCAGCAGCAGATCCACTGGGAGATCGAGAAATGCTCCAGTCCAAGTCTTTCATCGCCCAGGACCATGAGAAATTTGCACAAGCTCCTCCGTGGCATGAGCTTGAAGCAAATGATTCACTTCATCCGGCATAGCCCTGTTTGTGACCAGAGCTTCCTCGACGATGTACAGACACAGATGGCCTCCTTTAAGGCAGGCACGAGTGATTTTAGTGGCGTGAGGCTTGCCAAGTCTGTATGGCTGTAGTTTGCGTAGTCGCTATCACCCTTACAGATGCTAAGCCTGAAACCCGTTTCATTCTGGTGCACCTGCATCACGGGTATCACGCCCGTGTGGCAACGTGTGCCTGTGCATGGGTTTCGAGACTCGGCCGTGGCTGGCAGATGCCCCGTTTAGGCACCCGGAGTCTCCAAAACTCCTGATTAAGGAACAGACCTTGCGTCATTTGAATAGGGCCCTAAACCCTAAACCCTAAACCCTAAACCCTAAACCCTAAACCCTAAGCCCTAAACCACACTGAGATGTTTTGGCAGATGCTCGAGGCAAGGCTTCATTCCGTCCTGCGGGGGGCGCCAAAGTCCCGCACCCGAGTCTCCGACCCGTGCTTGTCCGGCCAGCGTGTTTCAGACATGTGCCATTGAGGCACAGTTGACATATAGAATATAGAGATTCTTAGCTAGTGTGGGGGTAGAGGGCCTCTACTTTTACAGGTTATGTCGTCCTAAACCCTAAACCCTAAACCCTAGACCTAAACCCTAAGCCCTCCCTGCATGTTTGATCCAGAAGTGCCCTCGAGTGCGTGGCAGAAATCAGTCAGCCCGCAGTTCTCTTGGCCCACCGAAAGCTTAATCCAACGGCCGGAGTAGATTCAATGCTAAGCTGCGAAACTGAGGAATAAGAAGAAGAAGATGATGATGATGACCAGATCCGGGATGTAAGTGACAGGTGATATCTTTTTCCTGCCGGCGACTTCAAGCCGGATCAGCCCGCTTTTCTGATCACAATACACTTGAACTCGCCGAGGTCTTCACTTTCATCTGCCAGGACTCCGGCAACTGCGTGAGGTATGGGCCTTCCCTCCGAAATATGTTTAGAGTGTAGAGTACTGGAAGTATCATGGGAGTTAGTCAGTAACCCGTTTCCTCAGAGGATTCCTTAAAGGGGCTGTAAGGGTTTGGGGGTTTCAGGACCATGAGAGTTAGTCACTAGAGTTATGAACGAGGTGGCCATCCCAATACATATAGCTCCCAAAACTTCATGTAAATCTGCTGATTCCCCGAGTCCTCAAAGTAGGCCACCGAAGAAGCAAGCTCAACCCTGCAAGCCATCCTTGGACTTGACCCCAAATACCCCAAGCTTCGAAAGTCCCAGCCTAACTTGTGAACTCTACATTGACACACCTTACATTCCTAAGTAAACGCCCGACAGGCCTCCAGCCGGAGAGCTGTGCCGACGAGCCAAGCCCAGAGAGCAGACCTGGAAAGCCCGCACACATTCTGGCTCCCAGCTCAAACAGCTCGGAAGCCTTAAACGTGCTCTTCAAGGAGCCCTTGAAGGAACCCCTCCTGACCTACCCAGTAACTCAGACTTTAAACTATAAACAAGTATAAACGGCTATACCCCTTTTTGAACTGGAGAAAAGGAGTTCAAAACAAAATCTTAACAAGAGCGCTCGAAATAAAGTGACTGGAAGCCTCAAAAGCAGTAAAAACCCAAAAAAAGAGGCCTAGAAAAAAGTGATCGGAACCTTTTAAAAACCAACCAAAACCTTAAGCCTTAAACGAGCCCACCAAAAGTGCCTCTCCCAGGAGTTGCACATGGGCTCGGCTCGAGATGTGGCCATGATGGCCGGAGCGGCAGCCGCCGTGTGGCAGGTGCAGCAGGGTTACGGGGTTATAGGATTATGGGCATGATTTTAGGGTCTTTAGCGTTTAGGATTCAGGGTTGGAGGATTCAGAAGAGTATGGGCATGATTACGGGGCTTTAAGGGTTTAGGGTCATAGGGCTGCTTGTGAATTGTTTTTGTGTTCCTCCATGTCGGAAGGCTGGGGCTCAGCTGACGCCCAAAACTCTCAGATGGCGATATTTTCCTAGATAGGTCCCTAACCTCTGAACCCCACACCCTAAATTAAGTAACTCCGAGCCCCTAGGGCCATATTGCCCTCTCGCCCCACCAACTCCAAGCCGAGATTTCAGGAGCTGCCTGGCCTTCGTCTCCTTCTCCAAAACTGCTTAGAGGAGAGCTTGGGTTTAGGGTTCAAAGGGGATGCTGTTGGTGATGTTGCTTTGGTTGATGGTCGCCGAGTTCCTCGGGATGCTGCGTGGCTTCTATATTTTGCTTAAACCCCCAAGCCCTAAGCCCTAAACCCTAAACATGCAGCAGAAGAGAGGTTCAGTTGTCGACCCCACCGTGAACCTAACGCAAACATCGGTTTGTCGGGTTTAGGGCTTTGGGTTTAGGGCTTACGGTTTAAAGGTTTAGGGATTAGGCTTTAGGGATTAGGGTAGAAGCCAACCGCTGTTGCAACGCGCTTGGGTCGGGGGACTTCTGCCCACGGCCAGGGAATCTCAAACATGCAAAGCCAAAGCACTCGAAACCCTAAACCCCTAAACCTCTCAGCCCTAAGCCACAGGGGTTCAGAAGCTAATTCCATCGCCAAAAATCTGAGCCTAACCGCCTGAAACTCGCAGCTCAGAGCCGGAGGACGTGGCACAAGCCGCCCGCTTCAAGTTCAGCGAGTTCAACAGCCAGGAGCTGGGGCAAAAACTTGTCAAAAGTCCGCCTAAAGCCTAAACCCTAAACTCTAAACCCTAAACCCTAAACCCCAATGGCTTCATCGCCCAATGGTAGTCAGCCCCGAGCTCGCAAATTCGGGCGCGGATGCTTGCCTTTCTTCGCAAGGATGGAGGGTCTCAACCCCAAAGGGTCCTAGGTACTCCGATTAGGGTTTAGGGTTTAGGGATACTTAACGTCTCCTGTAGAGACACTACATTCTACCATACAAGCGCCTAGGATCCTTTGGTAACGTGGAAATCGTGGTGCGCAGGTCTTGGTTGTAGGGCCGGGCTCCGATGGTGGAAGTTGCAAGTCAGAACTCCCCTGGTCATGATAATAACACAATGATATAGGGGTTTAGGGTTTAGGGTTTAGGGTTTAGGGTTTAGGGTTTAGGGGCATTTTAGAGGAATGCGACCCTTGCTTGCGAATCCCGAAGCCGTAACCCAAAGTCTAAAGCTCAATCACTCCGAGATCAACCCTGCAGCTGTTGCAACACCCCTTAACCCGAAGGCTTTTGGTAAACTTGATGGCAACCCTAAGCCTGGACACTTAGAATCGCCCGGAGAAGTATAGCAGCCGCAGCCCTAAACCCTAAACCCCACAGAGAGGGTTCTCATAGAAGCGTTCTTATCCTGACCTTATAGTAACCTGTATGGTAACTTGAAGCCCTGAAGCCTAACCAGTACAGCAACCCTTAAGAAACCCTGAACCCCATACGTAGCCCTAAGCCCTCAATCCTTCTAGTAGCTCGTACGGTAACCTTAAGCCCCAAACCCTAAACCGTAAACTTAAACCTAAAAACCTAAGCCCATATATATATATATATATACATATCTATATCTATATCTATATCTATATATATATATATATATTATATTATATATTATATATATATATATATAGAGCTCCTAAGGGCCTTCGTGAAGAACCCT